TACTGCACAACTGTCCACTAGCTATGCATTATTACTGCACAACTGTCCACTAGCTATGCATTATTACTGCACAACTGTCCACTAGCTATGCATCATTACCGCACAATTGTCCACTAGCTATGCATCATTACTGTACATCTCTCCAAAAGCTATGCATCATTACTGCACAACTGTCCACTACCTATGCATCATTACTGCACAACTGTCCACTAGCTATGCATTATTACCGCACAACTGTCCACAAACTATGCATTAATTCTGCACAACTGTCCACTAGCTATGCATTATTACTGCACAACTGTCCCCTAGCTATTCATTACTACTGTACAACTGTCCGCTAGCTATGCATCGTTACTGAACAACTGTCCGCTAGCTATGCATTATTACTGTACAACTGTCAACTAGCTATGCATTACTACTGCACAACTGTCCGCTTGCTATGCCTTATAACTGTACAACTGTCCACTAGGTATGCATTGTTACCGCACAAGTGTCCACAAACTATGCATTAATTCTGCACAACTGTCCACTAGCTATGTGCAGTAATGATGCATAGGTAGTGGACAGTTGTGCAGTAGTAATGCATACCTAGTGGACAGTTGTACAGTAGAAATGCATAGCTAGTGGACAGTTGTCCACTAGCTATGCATCATTACTGCACAACTGTCCACTAGCTATGCATTAATACTGCATAACTGTCCGCTTGCTATGCATTATAACTGTACAACTGTCCACTAGCTATGCATCAATACTGTACAACTGTCCACTAGCTATGCATTAATACTGTACAACTGTTCACTAGCTATGCATTGATATTCTACAACTGTCCACTAGCTATGCATTATTACTGCACAACTGTCCACTAGCTATGCATTACTACTGTACAACTGTCCACTAGCTATGCATTATTACTGCACAACTGTCCACTAGCTATGCATTACTACTGTACAACTGTCCACTAGCTATGCATTAATACTGCACAACTGTCCACTAGCTATGCATTATTACTGTACAACCGTCCACTAGTTATGCATTACTACTGCACAACTGTCCACTTGCTATGCATCATTACTGAACAACTATCCACTATCTATGCATCATTACTGCACAACTGTCCACTAGCTATGCATTACTACTGTACAACTGTCTCCTAGCTATGCATTGCTACTGCACAACTGTCCGCTAGCTATGCATTAATACTGCACAACTGTTCACTAGCTATGCATTATTACTGTACAACTGTCCACTAGTTATGCGTTAATACTGTACAACTGTCCACTAGCTATGCATCATTACTGCACAACTGTCCACTAGCTATGGATCATTACTGCACAACTGTCCACTAGCTATGCATTAATACTGCACAACTGTCCACTAGCTTTGCATTATTACTGCACATCTGCCTATTGGCGGTACATCTTCTTGTTCAACTACCTATTTACTACGCATCATATTATTTACCATTCATTGGTTAACATTTTTGTTTGTTTTAAAACAACTGTTGCCTTAGCATATATTTTGTACAATAATGAGTTTGTATCATATATTGTAAATCTGGTGCAAAGCTGAATATCGTTGCTGAGCAACAGCCTTATTAAAAAACTAAATTCATTGTATACGAAACTATTAACTGAGAACTGTTGTCTTTGTTAACTTATACTTTCGTACAGCTGTCGGCTGATTAAACATCTTAGTTTTACACATATTTACACCTGTTCACGTATCCTTCGTCACACTATCACACTGACAACTACCAGTTAGGTGTACATATGCAAGTATGTGTTGAATGTACACTGTTATACATGTAACCAACGGTCTAGTCTTTGGTGTTCAGCTATCTGTATCAACCCATACACATTAACTCGTCCACATAAATCAGTGTCATTTCAACTCATATTACTTGAATTGTTGTCTGTATGGGCAAGATGGTGTGATATACACTTATCTCTATAATAATGTCAGTCGAAAAAACAGCCATTCTTCCATCGTGTTTAAATTAGTTCATAGAGAAAAGGCGCGTGCTCAAACTTCGTATACATACTTTAAACAGGAAGGTAGTTACTTATAGTTAACAACAAGGTAGGTACTTATAGTTAACAACGTATTATAATACAAGGTTTCATCAGTACAAGCGTATTGTATCAACCCAATAGCTGCGACTAATTTATTGCTTTACCTTTGTGTCACATAAGGTTTGTAACTTAAATGGTTTCCGATTAGTTTAGTATCCATGTGTGTCGGTTTAATGTTTGACGAAGTAAACTGAGCACTTTAACGCAGTATATATAAGCAAGGTTTCGCTAAAAACAATATGTCTATGTCACGAACAACAAAAGGTATATAATGCAATGAACAACCTCTCTGTTTCCTCTGTAGCGTTGTGTAAAGAAGTAGTTTATAGCCCGGAGGTACACAACTACATGTTGACTCCACATCCTCTGGTATGTGTTCATCCGGACATTTTTTTTAAAGTTTTTAAAACCAAACAAGCTGCCCTTAAAACATGTTATTTTAAGTGTGACCTATTTTTATTACCGTTTAGAGTAGTTTCTATTGTTGAAGGTTGGTTTACACGTTTAATAATGAGTGAGGAAAACCCATGCGATGCTGATTCTCGTACGGAAGGACGCCATGTTAAACCGAATCAGGGAATATGGAAAAACAAGGTGGAATATATATTGTCACTGGCTGGTTATACAACAGGTACTTCAGACTTCTGGAGGTTCCCCTACCTTATCTGGAGACACGGCGGAGGTAAATATATTATATCATAATTATATCAAGATTTAAGACATGGAAATAAAAAAATAAAAACATGGTAAAGGCGAAAAAACATTTAATCTATTACTGCGAAATCCCCAACTACCTATCATAGTCGACCACGGTGCTTCATCTACAAAAGTATTTATACATGTTTCACCATTCGGGTCGGGTGGTTACAGGGAGCCGAAAAAACACTCAATGACGCCTGACGAACTGAGATACATGAGGCTGTATTTTATGTTTAATAAGATATTTCTTTGCAGTGAATACCGGAATACCTCTTTGTAAGAGACAACCTCCCGCCTCCCTTATCTCGGTATTCAGAGTCATATAGCACAATCAGAAAATAGTTTTGTTTTTCTTTAAATATTGAATAGTTTTTATGGCTATTTCGCCTATTTAGGACTCGGTGGTACAATGTACTTAGGTGAAAAGAAGGAATATTCACGTGCGAAAGTTTTGTTTCTAATGTTGATTAATACATATTTACAGGAACGTTTATATTTGCCTACGTCATCAGTGCTGTGATCATAGCTATCCCTGTCTATTACCTGGAAGTAGCCGTATCACAGTTTTCAGGTCGAGGCATGTTCGATGTGTGGGATATCTCACCTATCATGAAAGGTAAAGGCACCAACTGTGATCCATGATACGTTACAGCATATCAATAAGGTCCTATTTCAACGGTTACAAGTAGGATTTTCTGCACTTACTCTCAGAATATCGAGAATTAAGACTAAAATTATTGATTTTAGTTACAGTCAACCTACAGGATATCATGATATCAAATTATATTTCTATATTTACATAATTATTTTTCTCAATTTACGAAAATACTCTCTTGACAGATAAATGTGGTAAGAATACGACCGCCTCGTCACCGGTTAGTTCGTCAATATCTTTTTTTTCTCCCATAACTTTCGTCCTCACCCTCAGAAGTGTTTTTTTTCTAAACATTTCCATCGGGTTACTATACCACCTTCGTCAGACAAGGTGACATAGTCACACCATACTAGACATCGTCATTTTTCGTTAAACGCTGTATTGTTGTTGTTACCTGGACCGTCCCACAACCACAGAAGTGTACCTTAACCAGAACATGTACCATAGCTCCAACATACATTTAATCGAGAAAACTATAAACGGTCATACAACTATACCATGATTTACCTTTTGTCGGGTTCAGTACTTATAACTGTATGCCAGTGTTTTCTATGATGAGTGTTCCTGGAACTAGACGCCTATATGATAATACATATTGTCAAGGGTCAGGGTTTTCTCCGTTGTCAGGCATGGTCTAAGCACAGACTAATATGAGTGTATGTATAGTTTATCGGCGATGACCTTCAGTATAAGTCAGACTATTTGACTACCATGTTTGAAATATATTGTGTTTATCATTGTGATTACCAGTAGTTACTTCTTTCATTTACCTGTCGCCCATTTCCGCCTGTATTCAAGTACTATATGATTGGAAATCGAAAACTGATTTAAAAAATGAAAAGAAAAACAAGCGAGCGCTACAGCGTCAACAAAATTCCTTTTCGAACTCAACATCGATAAGACTAGCACAAAATATTGCACAACAGGGGAGTGTATGTTGGTGATTGGAAAATATTTCGAATAGGAATGCTAAGCGTATAATTCTGAAATGAAGAAATGCTTAACCACTTTTGAACAAATAGTGTTAATGACACATATTTCTTTTCTTCTTCTATTTGATTCCTCTGTTCCTATTTTCTTTATCGGTATTGGTTGATTTCTGTGATCTTATTATTTCTAACTAACCCTATTCCTCTACTTGCGTTCTATCTTTAACACCAGGAACCTTATCCTCGGGTCGTAATGTCACCAGGAATCTTATCCTCGGGGCGTTATGTATGACTTCAGGAAACTTATCCTCGGGTCGTTATGTCACCAGGAACCTTATCCTCGGGTCGTAATGTCACTAGGAACCTTATACTCGGGTCGTTATGTCACCAGGAACCTTATCCTCGGGTCGTTATGTCACCAGGAACCTTATCCTCCGGTCGTTATGTCACCAGGAACATTATCCTCGGGTCGTTATGTCACCAGGAACCTTATTCTAGCGTCGTTATGTCACCGTTTACATCCCACATTTATAAAACATTCTAATTATCCCACAGAGTACATGGTACCAGTTTTGGATCTTCCAGAACGCATGGTATCATATCTCATTTATTTTTCGTTAGGTGAGGGGGCTATATATATGCTGTCATGAGAGCGCTGGTCGATGACTTCTGTCCTAGATGTAGAAAAAAAACTTTTAAATTATTTCACAATAAATACATCATAATATACCTTGTCCATACCATAGAAGATGGCTTGTATAGAAATTACGTCTGTTGCCCAATTCCTTTTGAATTTGTATAAGATGCAATATTCAATAAGAAAAATGTGAAATGAAACGCTGTCATGCTTTTTTACCGTACACTGTTCTTGTGTGTTACGATTGTAATTTTTATGTCTTACGATTTATAGGATTGGGAATAGGAATGTTCCTTATCAACTTGGAATATGTTATTAGTGCACCGACCTTCCGACTTTGGATAATGCAGTATATTGGATACAGCTGCATGTCCCCATTGCCTTGGAAACGATGTGATAACCCATGGAATACTCCCGCCTGTGTGGATTTCTACAACACTCCGTCAGAAACAGTAAATTCAACACTGAATATATCACAGGCTTCTACATCCGAATATAATATGTCGGCAACGGTCCCTAAAATGCAGGTGCTAGCAGAGGAAGAGTTTTTCTTGTAAGCTGTTGCCCTAATACTGAGACTTGTATTGTCTAGAATAACATTCACTTGTGTCACATTATATTATTATATTCCATATTGTTGATTTTCTTATTATTTTCAACTATACTTGGATATGAGAGATAATGCAAAGACGTTATCTTGTAACTTAAATTTATTCTGACATCTTTACATGAAATAGTAGTTAAAGTATGAATCATCTGTTGTAGCCAGAAGTTGTCAATACGTTAGGTTATATATATACAAAATGTGTTACATTTAAGGTTATATATATATGTTAGGTTATATACATGTAAGGTTATATATATATATATGAGGTTATGAACATATGTTAAGCTGTTATATATATATATGTAAGGATATATATGTATGTTAGGTTATATATATATGTTAGGCTGTTATATACATGTTAGGTTATATATATATATATTTGTTAGGTTATATATTAAAAAAAACACGATCTGGGAACGCTGAGTTGGGACTTGGGTGTATTTACTGGTAGTCAGTGTAATGATGTCTTTGTTGTATGTTTTATAGACACAAGATACCCCAGATATCAGGTTCTGTGTACGAGTTGGGAACACTGAGATGGGACTTGTGTCTGTGTTTACTGGTAGTCAGTGTAATGATGTCTTTGTTGTATGTTTTATAGACACAAGATACTCCAGATATCAGGTTCTGTGTACGAGTTAGGAACACTGAGATGACACTTGTATGTTTTTACTGGTAGTCAGTGTAATGATGTCTTTGTTGTATGTTTTATAGACACAAGATACTCCAGATATCAGGTTCTGTGTACGAGTAGGGAACACTGAGATGGGACTTGTGTGTATTTACTGGTAGTCAGTGTAATGATGTCTTTGTTGTATGTTTTATAGACTCAAGATCCCCCAAATATCGGGTTCTGTGTACGAGTAGGGAACACTGAGATGGTTCTGTGTACGAGTTGGAAACACTGAGATGGGACTTGTGTGTATTTACTGGTAGTCAGTGTAATGATGTCTTTGTTGTATGTTTTATCGACACAAGATACTCCAGATATCAGGTTCTGTGTACGAGTAGGGGACACTGAGATGGGACTTGTGTGTATTTACTGGTAGTCAGTGTAATGATGTCTTTGTTGTACGTGTTATAGACACAATATACTCCAGATATCAGGTTCTGTGTTCGAGTTGAGAACACTGAGATGGGACTTGTGTCTCTGTCTACTGGTAGTCAGTGTAATGATGTCTTTGTTGTTTGTTTTATCGACACAAGATACTCCAGATATCAGGTTCTGTGTACGAGTAGGGGACACTGAGATGGGACTTGTGTGTATTTACTGGTAGTCAGTGGAATGATGTCTTTGTTGTATGTGTTATAGACACAATATACTCCAGATATCAGGTTCTGTGTACGAGTTGGGAACACTGAGATGGGACTTGTGTCTGTGTCTACTGGTATTTACGTCCGTTTGTACTGCGTGTGTGATTAAGAGTGAGAAATCTATTGGAAAGGTGAGAAAATAGCTTATCGTCTTTAAGTATACAATATGTAATGGTAAATCATTTCTATCTGCAAAACCAGTTATTGTCGAACAGCATCATATTCAGATTTCACGACCATCAACAAATTACAAAGAAAAAAGTACACGAAACATTTTAAGATGTACGGAAGCTAGTACGGGTCAACAAGAAAAACAATTGTTATGTCGTATGCTCGACTTACTTTGTTGTAATCATAATATCATAATATAATTTGTGATTTTCACCAATTGCGTGTTCGTTTTCATCTTCGTTAGATACAAATGTTTTTACCGTAATATTTGATTACTTTGAAATTATAAAACTAAAAAATATATGCCAAAATTGTTTTTTCCAAATGCACTGCTGTTAATGCTATTGATTACGATTTTGTGTTAACTTAAATTATAGACTTAGAAGGGGTTACTAGTGTCACCACTCATCTGTTACAGGCCATGTATGTTTTGACGTTTCTGCCCCTTGTCCTGTTGGTGATAATTTGGATACGGACGCTTGTATCACCTGGAGCCGTGGCGGGAATGAAATATTTCTTAACTCCAAACCTAAGAAAATTTGGAGAGCTTGAGGTGATATTTTTAACCAAGTAAAGTTTTTGGTAATGATTCAACTTGTCTTTAATCACATTTTCACACAATCAAAAATAAAAGTATAACACTTTAGGCTTAGACTTTCCTTAGTTTACACAACTTAGCATTCGTCTTGCTCTAACTTTTAGGGATATGTTTCAACGGAATGACAATGTATCTTTAATCATATAAAAGTCATTTATGCAAAAGGTGCGATTTAAATGGAACTCAGATCAATAGTTAAGTACATGCTGCAATAATTAAATTATATTAACAGAGTTATAAGGAACATTTTATCACATGCGATCAGATCCTGATCATTTAGTTTGTATTATGTTTTATTATTTTGCCCTCCTTAGACCATTTTATATCTCACCAGATGTGCAAATGCATGCGAATTCCATCCTACGACAAAATGCGAATTATAAAACACCGAACTTGTATTCAGTGACCCGCTATAAACATATTTAATCCATGTGATATTTACATTTGTTTAACATCGTTAAATATAACGAATGTTTGGATCTGTATTGTTGTATCTTTATCTTTACAGCTGTGGGTCCAGGCTGGATTCAGCGCTGTTTTCTCTCTCGGTACAGCTCATGGGGGGGTCATGGAGTTGGGGAGTGGTGCTAGCTTCCGAACAAGTGTATTGAGGTACTAGTATTATAATTATGTAAGAGTTACCGACGAACAATTTCCTTTTCGACTGATATGCGTACAACTGAATAAATAATTTCGTAGAAGCAAGCTGTACGTTTTATGTTTACTCTTTTGTTATTTCTCTGAAATTACTTTATGATCTTAATGATTGCCGAGAAGGCGATCATCTTTAGTTTCGGGGGATAGAGTTTGTTAACGCTATTCTCAGAAAGTATTGGAGGTATTTTTCTACTATTTTACTTGTAGGATTCCCATGTTTTGTAGTTATGCATATTGAGCTTTAGGAATGACCGGGAGACTAAAATGAAAAGTGTAAGTGCTGTTTACCAGAATGTACTGGCGGCGTCTTTCTGCAATATCTAGGTTATCCGTGGTTTCTCGTTGCTCATATTTCATTTTACGGCTGTTTGGGAAAGCAAGAAGACCACCAGATACTCAAAACAACCATCTTGAATTTTGACAGATCCATTTTGTTATCATTAAAAGTTACCACTAGGTACATTTACTTACACACTTTTTTTTTTCATTTTGTTGATCTTTAGCGCTTCAGTCATTCCGTGTGTGATTGATATTTTTGGTAGTATCTTCACCAGCATGGTCGTGTACTCTGTTATCGGGGTGATGGCACACGAGAGTGGCATGCAACTTGGAGAGACTTTATTTTCTGGTACGTAAACCCTTGGATGGAAAAGGTACATGTATTTGATTTTAATCCTGCCAGAAAATGAAATATAACGCTTAAGTTGTATTTGTCTGATACATATCTTAAAATCTTGCAATGACAACGTTTGTTCTTTGAATATATTATTTTGAAATCATACTAATCTTATTTATAAATAATATAAGGTAGGTGAGCGCATGACGGTAGTCAATTCTATGAACGATTGAACGCTTGAATATTTTTTTTTCCTTTGTAGGAAACTCTGCAGCTTTTGTGGCCTTCTCCAGGGCGTTTTCGTTCTTCCCGTTGCCTAACCTGTGGCTGGTGTTATTCTTCCTGGCATTTTTAGTTGCAACATCTGACATCATAGTTAGTATAAATCAGCTAAATGGCTATTGAATATTCCGTCAATGATTATCAATGATGTGATTGGACATAACGGAAAATGGCTTCCCTATGAAGAATTGCAACGTAGAGATAATATCAGATGTAATTTTCTAAAATACCAGGACATAGTATCTGTAATTACAAATGACCTACATCAGTACTAGGGCCTAGTATCTGTAATAGTAACTGTAATTACAAAGGACCTACATCAGTACCAGGGCATATTATCTGTAATTATAAAGGACCTAAATCAGTACCAGGGCATAGTATCTGTAATAGTAACTGTAATTACAAAGGACCTACAGCTTACAAAGGACCTACATCAGTACCAGGGCATAGTATCTGTAATTTCAAAGGACCTACATCAGTACCAGGGCATATTATCTGTAATTACAAAGGACCTACATCAGTACCAGGGCATAGTATCTGTTATTACAAAGGACCTACATCAGTTCCAGGGCATATTATCTGTAATTACAAAGGTCCTACATCAGTAACAGGGCATAGTATCTGTAATTTCAAAGGACCTACATCAGTACCAGGGCATAGTATCTGTAATTACAAAGGACCTACATCACCAGGGCATAGTATCTGTAATTTCATAGGACCTACATCAGTTCCAACAATTTAATACAAATATACCAGTACCGTACCCATATCTCCCATTGAACTTAATAATTATCCTTAAAAGTAATAAAGGGGCTAAAACATGAACAATATACTTCATAAAAACAATGGTATACCAACTGGCAAAACAAAAATGGGAACATTATAACATCAGTGATACGTCATGGAAATACATCTTCAAACTTCCTTTCCGGATCACTAAACACTATAAATTACAATAGTTTCAGTACAGGATCAATCACCACATTCTAACTACCAACTATCTTGTATTTAAAATGGGATGAGTTGAAAATTCATTTTGCTCTTTCTGTAAAACACACCGGGAAACTATTCAGCACATACTATGGGACTGCCAAGAAGTCAAAAGATTGCTTCATAATTGTGAGAGGGTAACCCAAATGTTTCATATCAACTACACATTGAATAAAAAAACAATTTATTTTTGGAATATTTTTTGCAGACGAACCAGATGCTGAAGTAAACAATCTAATAAAATTGGTAATTAAATATGATATCTATCAAACATTTAAAAAAAATCATTATCTATATTAGCACTTCTTAATGAGATTAAGGAAACATACAAAGTACAAAACACGGTAAATATGAGTCAGAAAGTTTTCTAGGATACTGGGGGAAATGTTTCCCACTGACGGAGACACCCTGACAATATACCATGCACAATAACAGTGATTTTTTTTATTCATAATAATGCCTTGTACAAACTAAAATATCTACAGAGCCCATGTCATTGATATAATTAGTATACAACGACCTAGTTAATAGTATTCCTTTTATATAACACAACCGGAGAATAGACAATATTTTCACACAATTTATACTTAAAGTGTTTACAGCTGTATCGTACAATATATATATATATATATATATAGCAATTACATGTGTCATACCTGTCTATGAAAGTGAATATACATGTGTTTGTAATATTTTGTTACAGTAAACACATGTACAAGATTTTTGTGATAATCTGTGTGTGTAGTAAAAGGCGTGTGTGATAGTAGAAACATATCGAGTATTTGTAAGTTATAGTAAATCCATACATACTGGTCCTACTCCTTTTCCACAGATAATCTTTTACGAAATACTGAACCGGTGTCTTCAAAACTTCGTACCAGGTCTTAGAGACAGACCAAAAACATCGTTCGCCGCCATGTTTGTCATCAGTTTCCTGGCCAATCTCCCCTTCTGTACACAGGTACGAAGCTAATCTTGATGAAAATCAAATTTGAGTAAATAGACTCAGTAAATATATAAGTATAGAGTATAAAAAAACTTTCATTTATTTATTTATCTATCTATTACTCAAGTTGGACGCGGAGAAACTGCCAAATGTTGTTTGTTACATAAGCTCTTGAAATTTCTCAGAACGGCATTGCTAATACGTAGGAATTTGTGTCTCATTCACACCACCGCTATAGTAGAGAGTGATTGTTTGTTAGTATTAAAATCAGCAGTATTGAAAAATAATTCAGAAGTACATTTTCCACTGTGCGTTTGTGCAGTAAAAGTAACGTTGTTTCTGAATATGTAAACATCATGTGTACAGGTACAATTGTACCAGTTCCAGTTTATCATTATACTAGGCTTAAACATGTTAATTGTATTCAAAATACAAGTAAGGCGTAAATATTGCTTTTGTTGATATCATGTATGATTAATTGTATTAGTCTTAAGGCAAATGTAACACGAACTGCGTCGTCAGTAAATCTGTGTCAAGACCAGCTCTGAGCATCACTTATTTAAATCTGTGTCAAGACCAGCTCTGAGCATCACTTAATTAAGTCTGTGTCAAGACCAGCTCTGTTCATCACTTAATTAAATTTGTGTCAAGACCAGCTCTGGGCATCACTTAATTAAATCAACGAAAAGCAAGAATAGTACGGTAAATGTAATATAGAGATAACTGTATAATGTTTAACCTAGTTGTTTATACGAACTCATACAATTATTTTTCTCTTATTGCCGTCACACTAATAACTTAAGTAGTTGCGTAACCAAACAATGTAGTTGATTTCTTCTTATTTTCTTTCTAAAGGCCGGACCCTATTTCTTCCAAATAACGGGTTGGTATATTGCTTCATGGGGCGTGTTCTTGATGGCGACTCTGGAGTGTGTCACCTTTATGTGGATATACGGTACGTTAAATTTATATTTATTTCAATTAAATGTGCCTTTTATCCATCAGAACTTATAGATACATTTTTACAATCTTCATTTGAATATAACTATTTGCATTGTATAAATCAGAACGAAATATGCTTGTTGCCAATAATAACAAGAATCATATAACAATACTTGCAGTATTGATGAATAATCATTTATTATAATTATTTTACTAATTTGTGTAACTATTTTGAATATTCATGACGAAGTTAAATTTTTCTAAATCACTGCAGTGCACAAACTCGAAAAACATATTACTTTCGTGTTGTAAATTCAAGTAAACACTACATTAGCGAGTTCATAGTACATGAAATACACCATTTCCTCATACATGTCTATGCAGCAAACTGTGAATAGAATCAAGAGAAGGATTAAATTCCAGGTTGACAATATATTTGCTGGGATCAGTGAAAAAATTGTTACATTATATGTTGCAGGCTTAGTGACAGTATATTGCCATCTTATGTTTCCCCCTAACAAGGCTAAATGTAAATTTATCCGGGCAGGTAGCCAAAACGTTTTCACTTTCAAAATAGATGTATCGACGATGTGTTCTCTTAAATTGACAAGACTTTCCTGACACTGTTGGTCGTATATTTCCTCCTTAACTTGATATGATTGTCATAGCAACCTCTTTTACATCGGCTGCTTCCTTCCATTTTGACTTACAACATAATATGGACGACTTACGCCCTAACTGCGTGATAAACATGAAGACTCCCATCATCATCATCTTGGTGACATCAATAGTTACGTTGTATCCACATTCCTGTACTAAATATTTGCTTTCCAAATATTATTTACAGAAAGTGTACTCTTCAAACACTTCTCGTATCTCAAGCATTTTCATTTGCTGTGTGTCTTAAAAGGCCCGGGAACATTCGTAAAACATGTAAGAATCTTTGAATCACTGGGATTCGATTTACGGTATTCATATTTATCTTTTCACCAGTAATGTTATGTTGCCCGTTAATCAAACAGCTGTATAGATGTACAGGTCATAATGTTTTGACGTAATAGAGCTTTATAGGATGGCGGCCAATGTAAGGCTGCAATTATTATTTCTTTATTTTGAGCTTTTCTCATTTGATTTGTTCACTTATAAAAAAAAATAAGAAAGTTCAGGACGTGTTGATACTAGAAAATTCCCATGACTCTTATACAACTTTGAAATATGAAAGTATACAAAAAAGCGCTACTCATCTTCAAAGTCCTACATTTACTTCTGTTTTTATTTCTACCGACGTTATTGTGTGGATGTCAACTGTAGTTTATCAATGGTAATTATTGTTGTCTTGGTGATAGTTGATATACTTAACAATGTCTTTATAAATATGACAGTTGTTCATACATATATGGTTGTTTAATACACCCAGTCATTGACCACTGAGGGATTGAACATTGTACTCCTCTAATTCCTTATAATCTAAGGAGGTCACATGCTAGACGAAAACATAAAGATGATGAATGGAACAAAGATGCCTCACATCATCCGATTTACGGCCGCGTTTGTTTGTCCCGTCCTCTTTATTGTAAGTACGAGTCCTCTTGCCTCAACTATCCTGTACGTCATTTTGTCCGAATGAGAGTCTTACAATTTAAAAGTTTAAAGTCGATTTCATCAAAGCTAAACCACACCATGGATGGTTCCCAATATCTTTTTCTGTTTTCACTGCTTTTTCACTCAGGATCTCTTTAAAAGAACCATAAATAATCAGGATGCCTTGCAAACCGTTTTATTGTTATGGTTATATAAATTATTTGTTGATATCTCTTTTTCTGTTCTTACAAAACGATCTTTAAACCAATCATATGAAATAACTGATATATGTATATGCCAGTTATTACAGAACAGACACAGAGTCAGCCTGATCGAGTCAGCCTGATCGAGTCAGCTCGGTTTTTATGTCTCCCCGTTTTAGGTCATACATGTATAATAATGCTTGTATTGTCTTTTCACTTCCCACGTAGGTGATCCTGGTAATTGGAATGGCTCGGTACAAGCCTCCCGTGTTTGGAACCTACCACTATCCCAGTTTTGTTGAGGGGATAGGTATTCTAATCAGCATACTGCCTTTGATTCCAGTGGTCTACTGGATAATGTTGTGTCTGTACAGAAATAGGGGAGCTGGATTTCAGAAAGAGGTATATATGGGATATATAATCATGATCAGATATTTCTTCATCAATTTCCACACTAAAAATATATGGTCAACTTTACGTTATCACATTTCATCCTTTTTCAGGGTCTAAACAAATTAATCCGACCAGGAGTTCTGTGGGGACCACGTGACTTGGATGTCATCGGCGACTTCCAGGAAGTAGCGGCGAAACAGAAAAGCTGGTCACAAACGGCTTACTATAACCTCACGGGTAGACATAGAGAGATAACTCGTTCGGAAACGTGTGACCAGCCGTACGTCATGACCAAGATGATTTAGAAATATAAAGATATTTCATTTATCAATCGATTATTGTTCATTGTGTTGTAATGTTTTCAGAGAATATATCGCAAAAGTAATGGCATGAAATATGTTTAAATATTGAAGTCGAATTTAACAATCAATCAATACTGTTGTACCTGTATGTTCACGTATGACTGAACACAGCCTGGTTTGGTTGGTATTGTTGACACCTAAATACTTGATAAGTTTAATAACTTTACCATGAGTTTGTTGACTTTACCATGAATTTGTTGACTTTTCCATGAGCTGTAAACATTTGTCTGGCATGTGATCACACATCATGTGCACATATGTGTTTCATGTAACGCAATATTTGAGGTAAGAAGTATATTTGAAATACAAAGTCTTAGAACAAATATTCTCTAAATAACATCGGTTTTTATTCTTTTTCGTGTGATTTAATTAACGAATATCAAGTACTACGGTGGCTGGTACGATCTATACTGTACCTTTTGTATAAATCTGCCAATGAATTGAAAATGAAAATGAGATTTATTTTACACAAGCAAAATACTGAGCTGTAATTTAATCCAACAACTTCAACCATACAAAAAATAGAATAACAAATAGTTTACTGCGCCAAACATTGCAGTATAAGACGTCATCATGTTTTGTGTTGTTTTCATTTTAGATCATATGATATATATGCATGTGACATGAAAAAAGCCAATCATTGTGGTAATAACCAAATTATATTATCACCTTTATAATAAGGCTCTGAAAAAGATATTTTAGGCAATAGTTTTTAATAACTATAGTAGACAATTACTTCTAACTATTCCACGGTGTCGGTTTACTTCTCAAAATTCGTTATTCATTTGGCCACCATTATTCCCAAATAAACCGGACGATGCCTTGGAAGACAGTTACCATGTCATCTCATCATAAAAGTGTCACGGTAATGTTGGGGAGTGATATCCGCATTGTATTTAAGTTCATCGAAAAGTAATGACATGGTTACTGTAATGATTATGTTAACTTATCACTGGAAATACTTACGATGAAGTTATTCATTTTTTATGATAGTTTGTACATGCAGAGAAACAAAACCAAATAGTAAATACTTTCTGCGCCGTATGGCCATTTCGGTTATTTATGATTCATCACGGGTATTAATATCAAATCAATGAACATCCATGTAAACATTACCACAAAACATACACTTTCTGTAGAGAACAACAAAAGGTATATACGTATAAAACGCTTTATTACATTATAAATGTACGGCCTTTCCCACAGAATGAATTTATAGATAAAAACAAATTACTTGTGCCTGACCCATTCCATCTACAAGGTAACTGTCCACTGTTGGGACTTTAGGTTCACCAGCAGAATCAATCATATTGCTACGCGAAGGAATGAAAATAAATACGAGGTAACGAAGACAGCTTAAGTATCGTCATCTCATTGTAAGAGTATAAGCTTAAGATTATCACAGTCATGTATCACCAATATCCCCATCAAAGACATACAAACAATAGTATAGTATAAGAGGAAAAGGCGATTCACGTCCAACCCGCCTGGTGCAGCTAATATGATGGAGTCAACCCCGCTGTAGGGTTGTCAGGGGGAAAGACATCCAATTTAAATCACTTCATGGAATGTTAACCGTGGGTTGCAACATAAATTAGTCGACCCGGGTTTTATTGACGTCATTTCTAGTTCCGATAAAAAAAAATGTCTGAATGCTGGGTCAGTCATGATAGTGACCTGAACTGTTGTCTCCTCCATGCTGATTACGATATCTTGTCGTACCCTCGTCAAAAGGGAAAAGGCGGAGGCCTTGTTTTATTATATACTTAGAAAGTTGATCATTCTGTTGTCAAGTTTGAAGTAGACGCACTTCTGTGGGTTAAAATCAGGCAATTCGCTGCCGCTGATATTTATATTTTGTTTCTTATATACCACATGTCAACAATCTACGCCACACTTTGTACGAATACGACGTTTCCGCTGTCATTGCAAATAATGTGTGTTTTGTTTCTCACGGTTCGGTACCGTCATTGTTCACGGTGATCTAAATAGTTGAATTGGAAATTCAGTTGACAACATTGATTCGAATACCGTGCCTAGGTCAACTCTCAATACGCTCTCAAATATTTTTGTATACGACAATGATACTGTTATGTCTAATCGTATATCTGATGATGGTATTGTTAATACTTTTGGTCGTTAACTGTTACAATTGTGTAAAAGTACCGGTCTTCGGGTATGTAATGGTAGATCGCCTGGTGATAACACGGGTAAATTTACTTTCTACAATCATTTGGGGTCAAGCGTAAATGATTAGGTTCTCAAACAAAAGATTCCTTTGGTATTATCACTGAATTTGATGTGCGTGATTTTAATAAATGGTCTGACCATACGCCAATTGATTTTAAATTTAATATTATAACATTCAGGCCAATTGAAGCACATGCAAGTGGTGATAATCTTGTAAATGAACAATAAATACATATAAATGGAATGCTGATGAAAAACCTGAAATGAACAGTAATTTAGACAAGAACATTAATTTATTACATAATATTGTTTAAGACATGCAGTCCTCCGTTGTCTCAGTAGATCGCGATATTGATTTGTTTTCATCTTTTATAAGTGAAATGTTTAGCCGTTATTGTCAATCTTTTTCTATTCGACCATCTGACAGTAAATTATTATATCGTACCCATAAATCCTGGTTTGACGATAAATATGTAGACGACTGTACAAATTGTATCGACGCAGTTTATTTTCTTTTAATTCCGACAGAACCCCTGAAAACAGGTTGTCTCTTGTCGAATCCAAGCGTAAAACGTAAATATTTTAGATCAGAGGGAGACCGTTTAAGTTTGTCATGCAGAAAGAAATCTATTTTTTATCAATATTTTAAGAAAAAGTCGGACTGTCCCACAAAACACTTGAATCTTGGAGACTTTTCGAACATTTTAAAGCTGTAAGTAGTGGTGATGATGCTACAGATAATCAAAATGTTTCAGACTACGATAATTCCCACTTTATGACGAATTAAATTCACCTATAACAGATCAGAGAGTAATGAGTGTTTTAAAAAGTGCTTATTTAGGCAAAGCTCTCGGAATTGATAACACTCTTAATGAAGCTTGTGTCAAACATAAGGAGAATTGGCTCCTGTTCTCTCACAACTTTTTAATGTTATTTTCGATATGGGCGTCTTTCCTTCAATATGGTCCAAGTGTACCATTTTCCATTTGTTCACAGAAGGTGATGCCAATGATACAAACAATTATAGAGGAATCACATTGGTAAGTTGTTTATCTAAATTATTTACTAGTGTTTTAAACAATAGACTGCTAGATTGGTCTAAGGAGTACAACATCGTCTCCGGTGCCCAATTCGGAGTTAAACCTGGTTTTGGAACTAATGATGCTATTTTTGCTTTATATGGTATAATTAAGAAAATGCTTTCTAATAATCGTAAGCTTTACTACTGTTTTATTGACTATCGTAAGGCCTTCGATAGTGTGAATAGAAATACAATTATTTTTGAAACTTTTTCATAATGGAATCAGTGGAAAATTATTAAATCTTTTTAAATCTTTTTATGAAGGTTTAAGGCCTGTGTTAGATATAAGTCTGAACTGTCTGAATTTGTTTCGTGCTCACGAGGCTTGATGAAAGGGGAGGGGTTATCTCCCTTCCTTTACTCCATGTATGTGATAATTTTGAAAATGAACTTATGAATACTTCCTGTGACGCTTTATTCTTCAGAGATAATTCTCTGTTTCTTTCTATGTATGCAGATGATACTGTCCTTTTCTCAGATCTGCCTCTGGCTTGCAGAAAATGTTAGACTCCTTAAAATAATATAGCGACAAATGGCAATTGACAGTCAATACGGAGAAAATACAAATTGTTGTATTTCGTTATGGCGGAAGATTCCGAGCTGGCAATTTTATTTACTTTAATGACAATGAAATAGAAAGTACTGCTCAGCTTTTATGGTAAGTTTACAAAAACTCAAGTTACTATTGCTGAACAAGGTTGTAAATGTATGTATAATGCTTTACTTTTTTTAACAATTTGTCCCTCACTGTAGGATCTAAACTTAATGTTTTTGATGTCTATATTTCCTCCATTCTTAATACGGTTGCGAAACATGGGTTGTTCATGTTGCGGACGACATGTTGTTTGTTTAAGAAGAATTTTGAATGTAAAAAACAGTACGCCATCTTCTATGGTATTATCGGACGCATGCCTTTGCATGTCCCCAGGAAATGACGAATAATCAAATATTGGTTGAAACTGATTAAATGCGACAATTGTGTTCTTAAGTCAGTTTATGAAGATATGGATAAATGTATTCACAGAAACTGTAATTGGCGTTGTCATGTTAGAAAATTATTATTGTCTTCTGGCTTTGGTAATGTCTTTATAACTCATTATGTTGATAATGAAAGGGTATTTTTACATTGTTTCAAGCAGCGTTTGACAGATGTTTTTATTCAAACAAGGAATGAATTTGTTGGAAGATCATCCACATTTTATTTGTATACATTCCCTACTGATAGCTTTACGTTACAATTATATCCAACTAAGTTTATTCCAGATGCGTATCTTAAACTTATTTCGAAATTACGACTTCCATCGCATCAGTTATATGTAGAAGAAGGTCGGTATCGTAATATTCCGAGGGCGAGTAGGTTATGTCGTTATTGTAATCAAAACCAGGTAGGGGACGAGTTACATTTTGTTCTGATGTGTCCACTCATAACAGAAAAGAGCGATGTAATCTAGGAAAATATCTGCAATCAAGTTGGTTAGAACGGTCAAGATTCCAACCTTAGGTTATTGTGTTTTTTCTCACTCTGATTGAAAACATATGAGTATTTGTTTAGCTCCAAGTTTACACATATATTTTTGTCTATCCCCTGACTACAGCACTGTTTACAAATTGTATGCTTGTTTTGTTTGTTTTTGTAATTAACATTTTCTTTATTGAGCCCCGGTTGATATTGTGCTAAGAAAAAGTTGTCACCTCATCTGTTTTCCGATAGTCACGATACACTAAGGTAAGGTTATTATACATGAGCTGTCCATCTTCTGCTTTATTATAATTTAAAGCATTATACTGTCCATTTATAGGTACTATATACATATGCGATGTACTAGATTATGCTTCATTCATAATGTTATAATTATTTGGTATTTCATATCACTGATGTATCAATTATACGATGCTGTGTAAGCTTATGAGCCGTAAGGTTTCAAGTTGAATAAATAATAAAAAAAATAATCGCTTTAAATGTTAAGTGACCAGACTTCGATCTATGTTACACCAGCGTATTAAAGAGAACATTTAAACACCTGTGTATCAGGGAGGTGTTTTAGCGTCGTTATTGGTTGTCAACT